GTGGGTGGGGGGGGGGGGGGGGGGGGGGGAAGAGGGGAGAGAGACGGGGGATGAATGCCAAACATGACCATTTTCCTTCTCGATCTCGGTCTCGAGAGAGATCCCATCTCGCCACCGCAATTATGTGCAGTCTTTCCTGGAAAAGCATCTGCTGAGATTTTGGTACCTTTAACCCGTGCTCCTTCCATAAATTAAATATGAATTTATACAAAGAAACGAGAAGGGATCGTCGGCGAGGGGAGGAGGGAGAGAAGGGGAGGGGAGGAGAGGGGGGGAGGAGCGTCGTGAAGTTGAGATCAGCAAGGACCGCTGAACATGGCCAATGGAGGCAAAGTACTGTCCTCGTTTTCATTGCATCTTTCCCGTGACTAGATGCGAACTCTTGGTGAACCGGAATGAAATTGAAGATCATCTGCTATAGTTTTACCAACACGCACGCGCAACCTTACCTTGCATCTGTTATCGTTACAAAAAAATTGCAGAGTATTCGGAATTTCTCCTCTGGAATTTCCCCCTTAACCTTCGAGTTTGCTAACACGATTTTTTTTTTGTGACAGGAAACAAGCCTACACCTTTTGAGAAAAAACTTACCAGCCATGGTACAGATACAGATTTTCGATACACATGCTTATTTATATTAATTTATTTCACGGTTGAGCAGTGATGGATGGATGAAACTTCCCTCTCATTCAGAAGATCCTCACTCTAAGGGGGAAAATGAGTGGGTTTTTTTAAAAAGCAAAATGAAAGTCAATCCAAATTTAAACTCAATTAAAATGCATTATAATTGACTGATGAATATATTAAAGCAGTTGACAATGCTCTATCGTCATACAGAAGCGTCTTTCACCATAACGACAATAAAATGTTCACAGGGCAGGCAAAATATCATTAGGGTATTTATTAACAACAAAATAATTTCACGAAACTTCACCACTTATTTTTCAGCGGCTGAGCTGCTAGAGCACCTACGTCACGTTACATATTTCACGGGGGGACTAGAAAAGTAGGAAACTACGATTTGATTGGTTTTGCTACAATAGACGAGAAATTCTCGTTTTCAAGTAAATAAAAATCAAGACTTATATCGTATATATCAAGGCTTATGATACTTTCCACGATAGGAAAGCTCGCCAAGGATCATGCCAAAACCCTATGACAACGAGTCCAATTGCGTCCACTGACGTCATTGGCCTCATTATCTAAACTAATTGAAGAAAACTTTTATTCGGCTCAACCCAAACGGTTGATGTGGTCCAGACTCATCAATGAAAATACACTCTGAACTGCTCTTTCGGCATTAAATACTCACCAGGGATGGCTCGGCGTGAAGGCGATTTGTGCACCATCTCACGTCTAAGGTGAAAACCTCGTTTGTTCGAGTCGATGCCAGATGGCAGGCTTCCAACTCGATTTATTGCATTTGCTTTTGATGTCGTGCATCGATTGGCTCGAGTCCATGGACATTTACATTTTATGAGTCGACGTCTAATGGCACCCATTATGTCAGTGGAGGCAATTGGGCACTTGCGTATCCCAATGCAAAAATGATTTATTTCTGGAGAAATAAGGAAAACGGAGCATCGGATGAGTTTCGTCCATTGGGGAAGATGAATCCTCGAATGCTTAGGATTTACGTGCATATTATTTCACCGCTCAATATTTAGCGGTTTTGGCGGCTGGATCTCTAACCGACGCGGTCAATGCTTTTTTCCCCGCATGGGCTTTATGTTCGGCAAAGCCTTAGGCTTTGAATTGCTTTTGAACTCAGGTTTGAATTATCAGTTAGTTCTCGTTCAGTTTCGTTTCTTGGTAAATCTTCACTCCATCCCAATATAAAACGGTTGAACATGCTCTAACATTACTGTATTTTCTTTAAATCATATAACAAATTACTTCTTAGCAAAATTGATTGAGAACAAAAAACCCACAACTCTATCCTAGCATCTATTTATTCACAACAGAACACATATAGAGATTAACTCCGAAAAATCACTAAACAGTCGAATAAGTCGAACCCAGCACTAATGATGATGCTCGTCCGACGGATGAGCAGCGGCCCAGAGCTTCTCCCCGGCGATGACGATGGCCGTGAGGGCCAGCCCGTACTTGAACCCGCGGAAGAGCGTGTGCCGGAACAGCCTCAGGTGCAGCGGGCCCCACTTTTTGTTGTCGTACTGCCAGACGTAGTTTCTGTGGCGAAAAGATCCCGCTTTGTGATTTTCGGGGGATGGAGAGCAGAAAAAAAATGTAGGTGCGAAGAACGCGATGCACGTTGGAGAAGAAATTGCGTGCAAATTCGATAACCTATGAGGATTATCAGGCTCTCACGATAATGGATTTGTTTTTCCACGAAGAACATCCTCTACAACATAAATCCCACAATAAAAAAGAGTTTTGAGCACTTACCGAAAAGGGTCACCGAAAAGGGGGAGGAAAAACGGTGGGAAAAGCGCGCATAATGGGATATGGAAGGAGGAAAATTCGATTGGTGGGTCGAAATGAGAATATCTGGTGAATTGAAATTACGAAAATACTGTGGAATCTTAGTCTCCCCTCCCTTCGCTGCGACTTTGCTTCTTCTACTAAACCCCCTCGCACTGCTTTCTTCGCAGACTTGTTCAAAGTCCGTGGATTTCGACTAAGTCAGATCCCCCAAATCGCCCCCTTACAGGAAAACGACGATCTCATGGGAAATGGGAATTTTCTTGTTCATTGGTTCGGCAAATCATAAAGGATTTGAAGCTACCAGTATTCAAATACTTCGATAATGACAAAGTAAAACGATTTCAATGTCGTTAAAAAATTTTTAAACCTCTGAAGATTGATGGTGGACATGGAACACTGCAGTTACTATATCAAATTCTCTATCAGATTTCCCGAGGTGATTTTGTCGACGCTGGTATTAAAACTGACAGCATGGACTATTGCAACAATCTCTCAGTCAGGGAATGCACATTGGATGTCTTTGTATTCCAGACCAATCCCAAACATCCTTAATACTTTCCTGCAAAAAAAAATCCTTTGAGGTTTATTGAAGTAGCCAACAGAACACCAAAAGTTTGGCCAGTCACACAAATTGCATGCAGTACAATGATTAAGAAAGTTCATCATTTGTAAATCAGCGGTCTCGTTACAAGTAAATTCAAGAATCATGTCAAGAATTAAACAAGGGTTGCAGTGGGCATTCAACCAGTGGCACGAAGGAGAGGTAACAGCAATCAACCAAAATAGAGGAGCCATTCGATACCTCTAGAAACCTGAAAGATAGTTAAGTGAGAAGCACCACAAGTATTTTTTTTATCTGTTCAGACTATTTTTCAACTTTACAGGTAAAACCAAAAGTTTTTGGATGAGGAACATTTACCGATGTCAAAGCTTTACTTGAATGTCTACCATCTTTCATCCATACAGTCAGTGGTGGTAAAATAACGCTACCAATCATCTGCGTGAGGCTTCAAGACCCAGACAATTGTGGTCATATGATTATCCTTCCAAGTTTCTTCCATACTCTATGGAAGTATCAGGCTCACCTGATCCAAGGATCCTTCAGTCCTTTGTAAGCCAACATCCTCTGAAGGTTCTGGAGTTCTGGGGTGTGATCCCCAACCTGGAAACTCTTATAATCAGGGACCTTGGGGATTGGGGAATGCCCATGCCCATGCTCCCCTCCTCCTCCCATCCTTCCACAAATGCTTCTACAGAAAAATCTACACACACCCTAATAATATGAAAAAGGAACCAAGAATAATTGAAAGTTGGCACTTAACTGCACATAATAAACATGAGTTCCAACCTTGAGCTTCATATTTCTATTAATTTTGTGGTTATTCAATGAAAATCATCAAATTTGAGATGGTTAAAATATTATGCTGTCAACCACAAGTGGATGCTCACACATCCAAGTTGCCTCTGATGTGAGACAGTAGTGGAACGGAGTTCAATTGTTTCAAATATAATTCCATTCCCATCAAAAATGAAGATAATTTATTTTTGCAATAAAATCGGGAAGGGACCTTTGTAACTGAGGGAAAAAATCAGTCTTTAGGAGAAGGCCTCTTTGACTGGCTTGGGGTGTTTGGTTCTCTCATGTTTCTGGAGCAGGTACTTGGTAGGGAAATTTTCCTCACAGCTTTTGCATTGGAAGTTCAATTCAGTGTGCTCCTTTTTGATGTGGTAACGCCGAGAATGATAGTCGAGGAAGAAAGAACCACAAGTGGGGCAGCGGTAGCCAGGTTGAGAGTGGCTTTCCTTGATATGTGTCTTCAAGGCTCTAGAGCTGTGAAAGCGCATTTTGCAAGCATTACAGCTAGGAACAGAAGCTGGCAAGAGGCTCGATGGTTTCAATCTTGGGATGGGGATCTTCCCAGTTGGAATCAATTTTAATTCACGAAACACCAAGGGGATTTCTTTAATGGAATCACTAGACTCTGTTAATGTTTTCTGAGCCTCACATGGGGGTTTCAGAGAAGAACTGGAGCTCTCAGGATCACCCACAGAACAAGCTTCTTTTATTGGTTGACTGTATGACAGTTGGGCCATCTCATCTTCAGGCAAGAGATTGTTCAGGTTTTCATTGAAGGAATCAGGTGGTCTACCATCAAGCATCAACTCTGTGCCAACATCACTGGAATGATTTTCCTTTCCTGAGTCCTCTACACTCACACTAACACCTATATCCATGTGATTGCTGTATGCATGATCAGGTAAAACTGCTTCAGATACAGATAAGTCTAATTTAGATTCATCACTGAGTACATGCAGTTTGCGAGAACTTGTTTCAGTCACAGTCTTACTGATAGTGTAGGCATGATCAGGGTTTTCTAAAACTGTCTGTTTTTTGCTTGGAGTACTAGCATCACCAGTGTAGGAATGATCCATGCTGGCTGCTGTGTTCCAAAAGGGATCTTTTGACAGTCCTTGCATCTCACTGTAGGCATGCTCTTCTCCAATGCTGTATGACTTGAACTGACTTTCTGATGTGAACTTGCTGTAGAGATGTTCATCATTCTCCTTCCAGTTGAGGACATATGGTTCATCTGACAATCTAGGAGAGCTGCAGATATCATCACGGAGGGAAGCCATAGGCTCTACCGACTCTTCTGGTGGACGATCTCCACTGTCGACTAGAATCTCCTCAGTCAAAGGGAGATCAAGGAACTTCATCACCATGTTGTCCAGAAGACCCATAGTTTCAGCAAGCGTTTCATCAATGATGCTCTCTGGAGAGGTTTCATCGCCTGCCGAGGATACTTCACAGATGTTAGTCTGATCTGTGACTGCACCGAGATTGTTGAACGAAGCATGCAACAGCTTAAAGAGAGATGTGAGTTTCTCCAGGTCACCAAGGTTCAGGAAGCGTGATGTTTCACCATGATATATCAGCTGCAGAAATGCTAAGACATGTCTCACGCATTCATCAGGAAGAAACACAACTTTCTCCTCTGCTGCTGGAAATCTGGAGAGGACATCCTAGGAGAAATGACAGAGCATGACCATGTTACATAGTGACATAATTAGTTCTCACATGAATTTGCGACTTTGGCACGAATGTTAGGCATTCGGTAACTCGGCTGAAACTCACCTTGAAGAGATCAGAGACATTCATCAGTAGGGCCGAATGTGCTTTGAGTTTTCCATCCTGACACACGAGGAGGACGTCGCAAACAGCCCCAGCTCCCCAAAGGAGACCCATTTCAGCTTCCAACTCTTCTTTGAAATTATATATTTGCAGTTTCATTTTGAGCGACTACAACCACATCCCGTCTCTGCTCAAATCGCAGATGGAACAATGAAAGGCAGGCAAAATAATACAAAGTATTAGACATGCATTTAACGCCCTATATCAGCACGCACTTCATTTAAAAAACGAGAGGGAGATCGAACTCTAAATAACCCTCAAATCCACACATGGAAATGGGCAGCACCATACTAGAATATTTGCAGTGTAGCTTGAAAACACTGGTCTCATTGGAACTTATCGAAATATAAAATAAAAAATAATCTGACATAAACATTTTGAATGTTAAATTTATATATTTATAAAAGCCAGAATGTTTTGAGAAAGAAATAAAATCTCTTTATGAGGGTTAGAAGTAGTCCATACCGTTCAATTTGAAATTGTTATCAGGCAACTGTGAGACCGGTACATCCGACTGATGCTGCACACGTGCTTGCCAGGTCAAACTTAGACGAAAAAATAATATTTTTACCTGAAGTTCGTTTTGAAAGCGAGACCGTCAGATCTGATCAGGCGAATCATTCAGGGATTTTACGCCCAGACCTGTTTTTTTCGTATTTTTTCCTGGGCGAGTATTTCGTATTGTCAGGTGATAGTCCCCTGTCCTGCCTTGATGATGTCGTGACCAGTCGACGACATGGACAAGATGAAAGAAGAGAACGTTGGAAAAAGTCACAAAGCGCTGGTGAGTTGGAGGTCTTAATTTTCCTTCGTAGGCCTAGTTCTGGGATCACATAAAATGTGGAAAATGAAATGAAAGAATTGTTACAATGATCAGACATTATGACACCATCCTTAGAATTAGATCAATTACTCAAGAAAAGAACTTAAAAAACAACACCAAGTAATTCATAGCAGTAAAGAATGAAGAGCAGAGCTTCCAGTAAGCATTTTTTGGGCTTGTAATGGTATAATTTGATGAAAACAACAGATATCCATGAATTCAAAGAAAAGTATTCTAGGGTGAGCCCCAGGGTTTGGGAGCCCATATTGACCATCTTTTCATTTGTTCGTCTTTTTTAAATGTCCTTGTTTATTAAAGTCACTTTCTATATACTGAGTAGCCCATGCCTTTACAAGGTAAACTCCTCAGACTAGTGCCTGAATTTTTGGGGAGGTCTTGTGAGAGTAGAGCCTTTTTTGCTCAATACTAAACCACTGGTCTTCCTAACTGCCCAAAACTGAGTTGAAAAGAACTTAAGAAAAAGAGAATATGAATTTCCTTGGATCCAGGGTATTCCTGGATGGAGTCACTGTTTTTAATAATTGAATTTAGTTTTTTTTCTTCTCACTTTTCCTTCATATTTAAGTACCTGAGGTTGCTTTTCTTTCTCTCTTTCACTATCATCTTGTCAATTCCTTATTGCTGTTGTATTCATATAAAGAAATGGAGACAGATCTGAATCTGAATCTGAATCAATGCATAATATTACATGTTAGGCTTGAAAATAGCCTAAATAGTAAGGGTGGGTTCTTGTATTCTCTTTTATAGTCCATGTATCAGAAAAAAAAAACCAGTTTCTCTAAACAATAAGATGATTAATGGAGGCAATAAACCTATGGCTTGACTTCCTGACAGAGGTGAGAGAGGAAAAGTTATTTGACATAGTGAGGCTGAAAGGCAATTTGTGGATTCCCCCTCAGGGAAGAGAAGTGATGTCAAAGATGTGCAGATGAAATACCAACAGCTCAGTTACTGGCTTTCTCCTCTCTTCGTCATCAGTGCAAGTTGCTCAGCTATTATAACAGCAGGTGCTCTCTCGGATATTAGGAAATGAATGACTCAATTATCTTCAATAAAATTATTGGCCTGAAGTAGGGTAAAAGACCCAGTGATGGGCCTGTTAATGGCGGGTATTCAGTGATGGGCCACTTCGCAGGAAAATTCCAAAAACTAGGCATTTGTTCCATGAACACCTCTAAAGTGTCTATGTGCTTGAATACTGCTAGCATATGTCACAACATAGGTAGGCTTGCTATGGAAGCTTAGCTATTGGAATTTTTATGTGCTGTGGCCCATCACTGGGGACCGGTCCATCACTGGGTCTTTTACCCTACCTGGGAGGTGAAAGGCAATCCAACAGCCTTGCAAATGAGACATATCATGCTACAGTTCCCTCAAATCTTTCCCTTAACCTAGTTGATCAATGAGGCTATTAAAAGGATTAGCCTTCCCTTTGCTGTCAAGTGCTTCCCGAAAGTGGGCTTTTTCCCAATACATGGACTATAGCTGCTAAAGGGGCTTTTAGTTCCATGCTGGCAATGAACCTAAAAGGTCTTTCAGGGCTAAAAGTGAGTACAAGAACCCACCCTAAATCTTTGTTGACCTTGGCCCATGGAAGAAGAGAAACTTTCTTGTGGTGTGATTGGATATGCAGGCCTGCAATGGTTCAAATTTTAAGCCTACTGCCTTAACATGTACCATTGTCTAGTGCAACATGGATGATTCCAAAGATGACACCATATGAAAATGCTATTATGATTCTAGATGTTCCATTAAAAATGTTTAGGGTGCCAAGGATGAGGATGAATTAAAAATTGATAGGCTTTCCTATTATTACCTTCTACATCAGGCATGAACTTTTATAGATACTTTGGTGGGAGTAGGCTTATTTGTTTGTGAGAAACACAGCAATTATCAAATTATCCAGGAACTCAAGGTCACCAACTGTTATTAAAAAAATTATTTTATTCTAAGACTTTGTCTATGTTGCAGAATCCTTCTTCCTTCCATTGTACTGCCATTCTGGAATGGGGTCTGTGTTTCTTTTGACCTAGTCTCACATCTCTGCTAACATGCCAAAAATTACTTTGAAGAATGTAACCATTAGGGGGATTTTAAATTTGCAACCTGGAGTCCACTGAGCTAACTTCTGAGACACAGTGGCATGCTGATGTAGGGACACACACAGCTGTTCCATAGCTGCATTTTCAACTGATAATATGCTAAATCTGCTAATTGCCTGGTGATAGGTGAACCACTTGATTTTTTTTTTCTACAGTGTTTTGACAGATAATCTTGAACTTAAACAACTAATGAAAAGACTTGAAGGCCTAGCTTACCATGCACTTATCCTTTCAGAAACCTATCCCAAGATGCAGAGTGGAGGGGGAACCATCCATATCTGTTGAGGACCTCCATCAATTGCATGAAACAGAGGCTCTTTTCCATTCCAATTGGATTCGACTGCAGGTGAGTCCCAAATATCCAGTTTAGGTCTGAATGCAGGAATGGATTCAGATTGGGCTTCTATGGACTTAGGTACATATAGTCACAATTCATGCTCCTCTTATGAACTTGATGATGGATAGCAGAGGAAATAATGAATTTATTGTGACTTTTTTTGTTGTTTCTCCTAATTTTTCTCTTTTTTTTTCTTCTGCTTTCCCCCTGTGACTGGAATTCCTGCCCATAGGTTGAAGGATCATTTTTAGTTTCAGGTGGCTTTGCTTAGCACAAATGCATTGTTTCATTATAGTTCATAAGCTAGGGCCTGAATGTTGAAATGTCATTTAATTAATGATCCTTTAAGATTGCAGCTCTTTCATTTGAAGGTCCTTTTATCTCACCTGAAGGTGTCAGCATTCAAGCCTCAGGCTTTGGCTTGGCCTGGTGTGACCTGAAGAACTGTAATTAGTCATAGCTCATTCAGTAATTTGTGTTTTCAGAATTCCTAAAATGGGAACTCAAGATTGAGAAAGTTAAAAATGACATGATTATTAAATGCGTAGTGAATAGTTAACTTTTCACCAATTTTTAATGCATTCCTAAGGTCCTACTTCAGAGAGTTGAAGATTGAACCATGGTTATTCACCAGTTCATGTTTTATGTTTTGATAATTTTACTGCATTTTCTTTTACAGATTGAGGAACTGTTGAAGGAGGTGAAGGTGAATGGGAAAAAAGAGCTTGAGCTTGCAGAAGAGGTCATAGCATGCATCAAAGCACCTGCCTCTATCAAAGTGAGGATTTTACTTGTTAGTCCACCTTGCATCATTCTGTATTGCCAATAGCTTGTGACCTGCCCCCAATAGGAGGTGACGCGACGTCGACTGAAAAAAGCTGGGATCCAGATCCCGCTTCCCATTCTGATGACTACTGAGGATGAAGATATGGGAATCCCTGCATCTTCTCCCATAGATCATCTCATCACTGGCTCTGCCATCCTCCAGACTGCCATCAAGCAGCACAGAAATGTTGATGTTGCTTTCTTCGTGCCACCTGTATGTCCAATTCCATGTATTGTTGATCTTCTTTCCAAAAAAAGAGATAGACCACTTATAGGGTGTTATCCTGTCCTCTGCCAAGTGTAGCCGCTAGACTTGACAGGCAAGAACCAAATGTCGCAAATGGAAAATATGGAAAATCACTAATTTCCCAGCTGTTGGGATCTTAGAAGATGGTTCTCATTGAAGTTTGCTAAACAAACTGAAGGGTGGCCTGCCTTTTAATGTATGGATTGTGCTATACCATCTAGCCTTACTGGTCTTTTGCCAAATCAGGCCCTTGGAAGATTGTTCTGAACATCTTTGAGGAGCAGATGGCATCCTATGTCCTGTTCTGTCTCAGTTTGTGCATCACTCTGGTCCCACTTTTGCTGTACATGAATGTATTCTAAGGGTGCATTTTTGAGAATGCTCTCTTCAAAAATCCGCCCTAAGAATGTCACTTTGAACATAGTGATGATATTGATTGAGCAATAGTGAGTAAGATGGAATGAGTTGTTTTTGGTGAAGTTCATTTCAAAAGCATACTCAATATTGTAATACTTCAAGTCCTGCTTGCATTGACATTGAGTGAGACTGCAAGATCTCCCGCTTCTGCTTCTGATATCATGTAGTCTGTTTCTTCAATAGTATTACTTTTAAGTTCATGCCTTAAAGAATATAAATGAGAGGTGAATTGTGCCAGTTAAGATTTGCTCTACTCGACTGGGATAGTCCAGCTTGTTCCTCCTCCCTTGATGAAATTCATTCTTTTTCTTCTTGGAGCAGGAATGCTTGCATCATCGAGACTTCCTGAATCATGAATATCTCCAAAAACGGGCCCTCTATTTGGGATTTTTGGCATACAAGTTGAAGAAAGCAGCTCTACCCTTTGCATTGAAATTTGCATTTTGTGATGACATCTCCTATCCCTTCCTCCTTGTTGCTCGGGAAGGAAATGATTCAGCTTTGGAAAAGCATCACAGATGTGTTGTGATTGATGTTCTCCCACCTCCAGAGTATTTCAAGGACAGCAGGTTCATTCCCTCTCGAAACAATGTTCGCCCATCATGGTACTCAACAGGGTTTGATGTTGACCTTGGTTTGAAAGGTATTGCCTACTTACTGTCCATGACTACTATAGATGAGAGCTGATTGGATGTTTTCTTTGTAATATATAAAAAAAAATTGTTTTGTAAGAGGAGTGATAGCTGTTTCGAGAAGACTATGAGATAATAATTGTTTGCTTATTGTGGACATTGTTACCTAAAACTTATAAAAAGGTAGATTTTTATATCATCATGCAACTCCAGAGCTGTATTGAAAGGATGAAAGTCAGCTAACTTTCATCCTTCCCTCATAGAATTTCCTAAATTTTGTACCTCCATAAAAATGTAGGGTTATTATTTGAAAAAATTTTGATATGAAAGGGTAGATAGCAGTGTTGCATGGCTGAAAAATCTGATTATAATAATTTCATGCAACATGAGAATGTGTTAGAATTCATACCAAATTATACACAAGACCCTAAAAGTCAGTACCCTTTTAGATATTAAAATAAAACTCTGTCCTTGTGCTTTAAAGATTGATAATCCAGAGCCAAAATGAATGTTGATTAGGTGGTGATACAATTCTGTGCATTTCCTAAATCTGGAACTTCTTACTTCATAGCAATTTAAGTTATATGCAATATGGGGTTTTAAATTTCCAGGTGAGGCCTGGCCAACTTAGACTCTAAGGCATCCTTTTTGTTTTGTTAAAATTTTCCATGTACAACAAACTAAACTCATTTATTGCATTTCAATCCAGACATGTTGAATTGTGCTTTCTCTTAGGTAACTACGTAATGGATAGTTTTTTTTTTTTACCAATTGCATTACCTCTGACAAGGGAAATAGGATCTCAGGTTCTTGGGTTCTATTCTCTTTGGCCTGGGTTGGCAGAGAAAGTTCAGAGGTGGATTAAGTCCTGCTAGTCCCTTTTCTATGTTGTAGCATTGCCTTCTTCTTGATTGTTTTTACTCAATATCAATGTGTGAATTTATTTGTGAACTCTTCTATGTATCATAAAAATACCTCAGTCTCCAAGGAAGAAGTCTGCTAGATATTGTCAGATGATAGTAATTGGGTCAATTCATAAAAGAGGGAAAGGTGGGGGGGAGGTAATAGGGAAATAGCTATTTCACCCCTCCCCCATCTTGGTACCACTGCCTCTGTTCATTGCATTATTTACATCTACAGTATATCTCCAAGGCATCCAAGGTAGTGGTCAGTTGGATCAGTTCTGGAAGTCATGTAAAGGTAGATAAAATCAATCATGAAATGATGGGCATGGCAGCTAACCTCTCATCTTTCTTCTTTTTTTTTCTAAATATGAGTTAGCTATGCAGGTGATGATGATGCAGATTTATGAGGATTTATGAATATTTTCATTTTGAGTAAAATTTAAGAAAATATGCTTAATTTTAGACCAGGCAAGACTAGTTCCAAGTTTATAATGGATTAATTGATTCTAATACAAGTAACTTATATTGGCCTCATAATGATTCCATGTTGTGATTGTACTCCTCTAGATGAAGCTGAGGAGATTGGTACTCCTCATTACAATGCCTTGATATCCCGTGACCTCACAATGCGTCATTGTCGAGAGCTGCTTGTGGACCGCTTCTCTAACAACAGTGCTCTTCAAGATGCTTTGATCCTCTTCAAAGTCTGGCTCCTCCAGCGGGACCTTCTTCATGTAAATATCTGCATCTTGAATTCCTCTCCAACAGAAAAAGGCCCAATTGATTTTGCTAAGTGAGCATCATTCCTTAGGGGAGCTATGGGATGTCTGGATTCCAAGCCAGTCTCCTGTTTGCATACCTAGATGTCAAGAGAATGGTGAATCCACAGATGAGCAGCTATCAGATCCTTAGGAATGCCTGGAACTTCCTCTGTGAGTTTTCCATAAATGTTTCCAAATAATGTTCAGTTCCATAAGCACTGTATTTAGTATTTATAAAACTTTCAGGCACGTAACCTACTCATTGCGTGTCGGGTGACTAAAGTTTAAGTTATATGTGGCAGAAATATTTCATTTAACATGTGACCTGATGTTGTGGGTCTTTGAATGTCACAGCACCCCAGCATCAGTGTGTTTGTCTCTGGAAGAGAATGTGATTAGTTTAAATAATATTTATAAATTGGTTCTTATAAAATATTTAAAAAATTATCTATGGAGGGCATGTATCATTTTACAGGAAATAATTGTTCTTGACATTATATCTTCTTCAGCTGTGATGCTTCATGTTTGTGTTTTTTTTTTTTTACCCCAGGGGAGACAGACTGGAGCAAAACAGGGATTTCACTCTTCCCTGAGACACAGGCCCATGAGATGCAGCCGACCATTGATGACTTCCACAAACATTTTGATGTGGTATTCATTGACCCCTCTGGCTTCCACAATGTGTGTGCCTTTCTTGATCGATGCTCATATCACGAGGTGAATGCTTGCTTCTATTTTGCTTCTGACTCAATTGTGCTTTTCAGTTGCATGGAATTGCCTCCCTTGTTGTAGTTGAGGTTTGAAGCACATCAGGCATTGCTCTGCCTGGACAACCATCATTCTGAAGCCATTGAAGTCCTCTTCACCAGCCAGTCTCCATTTCTTCTCCGCCATGACACCTACTTCAAGTATGTAGTAGCTGGCCTTAGGTTACTTAGGTTACTGCCTTTGGCAGACACATTCCTTCCCTGTGGAAGGTCTATTGTCTTGACATATGCTGTCATAGTTTTCAGACACATGACATGGGAATTAAAGTCTCAGTCTTATGAAGATTTTGAAGGAGGAACTTATTCATCACAATCTTTGATATTTACTTGGGATTTTGTTGATATAGAATTTTACTTTGCATGTGTTTGCGTCAGTATAATTCATCAGTAAATATAAATCAGATTTTCAGTGCACTGAGTTTCAAATTGATATATATATCTATATTTGCATTTTATTGTGTTTCATTTGTTTTTGTAGTTTAGTGTAAACCAAATTCAGGTGAAGAATTTTACATATTTCACTTAGAGTTGCACCTAGCCAGTATTCATACTATGAGGCAATTGACAAAGCTTAATGATGTTACAGACTATTTGTTCAAATCATGCCTATTAAAACTGCCTCAGGGTGAATATAGAGGAACCACTACAGCTGCTACTTCAATTGGGAGGAGCAGAGAAAGCCTTGGATCAAGGACCTAGGAATCTCCATCATGCTACATGTCAAATGGTGACTCAGCTGCTCACAAAGGCTCTTGGCAACAGGTTTGTCTGCTTCCCCATTTACTTTTCCCCAAAATGGGTATATTAGAATGTTGATGGCGAACCAAGTCTCAGTTTTGCATCCAGCCATCACCATTATTAAAATTTGGATTATATGAGAGAATTTCCAATATCTATACTTAACAGTACCCATACCAATATGTTATCTTTCACAGATGTTGAAGAGTCAGGAATACTTTAATATATCAAATTTGGAAGTTAAGCTTACACCCCCCAATCTTGAAAATATAAGCAAAAATGGTGGGATGCAAACCTTAGAATTGGTTCAGCTTTCAACAATAATGATCCCAAGGAACAATTTTTGAGTAGAATGTATTATTTTTTAATATTAGTACTGTATCATTTCAACTTTTGTAGCAGCTTGAATAAATATACACCTGTATATTCTGTAAGCTAATAAAGTACATGTTCTATATATAGGATCAGGGGCATGGGAGTTTTGAGAGGGATGAACTCATTGACATGGTCTGTGGATGAGAAAGCACCAGAGTTCTCCTGCACCTTCATTGTTGGTCTGAGACTGGACCCAACTGAGCAACTGCGCATCATCGACAAGGGTCCTGCAGCCGATTCTCATCAGGTCGGTCCTTGTGTTTTGTTTGAAAATTTTGAAGCTGGACATGAAAATTACCAAGTTATTAGAGCTAAAGCAAGGATTGTGATGTTGCTTGCAGTTGTTCATGCTCCAATGCCATAATGGGTCAGCCTACTGTATCTGTGATGCAGCTTGATCTGAAAATGGTAAAAACCTGTTCCTACTTGAACCTAGTCTGGAACAAAGACCTGAAAGACGCATTCACCTATTCAAATGAACCCTACTTTGCTTGAGAACAGGTCAGATAATGCATTGTATGAGTCTCAGGTAGAGATGAAAAATATAATTGTAAGTAAACCTAATTATAGTTTGGTCAAGGTGAGAGGAATTTTGTCTTAAGGTACTCCAGGCCATTGTTCAATATCTGGAGATTTCATCCATAAGGACAGTTTACAACTTCACTATCATATTCGGATGTGCCATTAATTTTTTTTAATGCATTTGCATCAGAATAAACTTTTTTTTCTAGCATTCTGTTATTCAGCATATCTTTAAGATCACTGTACTATTAACGTCTTGCATATTGTAAATGCAGTCGGTTATCATTATGCAGGGTCTTGCAGCGGTAATGTCCATCTTCAGCTTCGCCTATTATTCTAGGCTTACTTGAGATTGTTATTCAGACTCAACTTCCTCTGGGAAAAAAAAAAGATATTTCTGGTAACAAGTATGAATGAAGAAGATCAGACCACTGTGAGATCTGAATGCTGTTGCATCTCCAACACAATTTTTGAATTAACACTTTCACTGCCAAGCCATTATTTGGAGGCCGTTCCCCTGAGGCCAAAGTAATCCTCCTAATTCTGGTGTACATGACACAAGCGATACCGTGAAAGGTGAGGATCCACTTGAGATGATGAATGCATGGGTGACAATCGACAAGCCATAATGACGAAACTGAGCTTGTCCGCAATGACTATCGGCAATCAAACGGTACCTATGTCGTACCGTATTTAATTTCTAACCAGTCTTGGAGTGCCATTGCTCCCACATTGTATTCCTTGGACCGCGAACCTTACGACTTCAGGCTGATTCCAAAAATGAGGTGCCTTCGATGAATGGCCGCCGCTTCTACGAAATAGGCGCTTGCCAATCAACTTGCGACCAACGCGTTGGATAAATTTGCCAAGAATGGGTTACAGTCTGTTCTAAGCTCTTTACAAACGAAAGGAAATGTGTGCTGCAAGTCAGGTTGAACTGGAGGGTTGACTGGAACAAATTAAGCAACTTGAACATTTTTTTATACAGATAAATTCTTCAGCGAATTGACGTGATAATGTAAGGATACCTTGTTGACGAGGTTCTTCAAGAGCTGTTGAAGTACAGTATGTGCACCCTTGCCCCTCTACTCTTGAGTCATGACAGATTTAATCGAATTGGTCAAATTTTCTGAGTGAACGGGGATGTGACTGCCAATGGGGAGGTACGAATCTGCATTTAATTTTTGCCTGATGGATCTGGGATGATCCTCGCGAAAAAATTAATAGAACTTTGTCAAAATGTGTACTCATCCATAAAAAGTTCATGCATCTGCATGCATTTTCAGTGATCCTCATGCAATTTGGATTCGTCTCTCGCAATGGCAGTCGCATGCCCTTTCTTTGCCATCTCAAAAAATGTGCTGATGTGAAACTCATGAATGGGTATCCATAAATTCATATAATTTCAAGAGCTCTAGGAAAACATTGTAGCCAACGTTCCTTTAAATTTTCAGACCAATGAATTACAAGGTATGAATTACAAGGTAAGGAGTGGAGAAAACTTTCAAGTTGCATTCTTTTCTTGTTATCCATGCATTCCAAAAGGGATCATTCTGAAACAGAGCATCTGCACATAGTTTGCTCAATTGAAAACCGGTTCTGGACCTTTTTGATATGTCCACGTACATACTGTACTATATATAAAGACTCCCGTAATATGCCCTATGTGCAGAAATGAAGAAAAAGTAATTTCCACTTTACCCTTATACGGAGATATACTTATATTGAATACATTGTAAAAGAGAAATGAGAAGTGAAACACCACAAATTTGATTTAAAATTGACCCCATCAGAAGGCGACGATAAAATTCGTAAGCTGAAAGGAAGAGGTCAATGGATCGTATCACACAAAGCAATGCAAACCACCCGTCGCAGGTCGTATGATCTGGTAGAAAGGACCTGTACGACCCGCCGGCGGCTCATATGACCCAGGAGAAGAGAGAATGTACAACCCGCTGGCAGGTCGTATGGGCTAGGAGGAGAGAGCCCTTATGACCCGCCGGCGGGTCGTATGGCAGCGAAAGTGTTAATATAGATATAACTCTGAATTCTTGCCAGGCACTTGAGTTCCGTGAATTCTGGGGAGAGCGGAGCGAATGGCGTCGTTTCCCTGACGGATCAACATGTGAGGCAGTGGTGTGGGTGGAAGAGAGGGATGCTGTACTCTGTCAAAGGAGAGTCATTCTACCCAACATTGTCACTTACATCTTGGAGAAGAAAGCTGGTCTTCAGCCTTGCTTTTTCCTACTGCCCCTACAAGACATTCTCAAGAATCCTCCCTACAGAGGAACTGGGGAGGAAGAGAGCCTTGCAGCCATCCAGGTAAACTACCTCCAGTCTCCCTGGGTGAAATTTTTCTTTGAACTTGGTGACTTTAAGCAATTGGGATTGGGATATCAGGGATTGGGAGAGCTGCGCAAAAAGCTCTTGGAGCTGTCGGACCTTCCTCTCAAGATCTCGTCGCTCCAGGGGGTGTCGCCCGTGTTCGCCTATTCTGAAGTCTTCCCACCGCTTCCTGGACTTGCAGAACCAAGCATTCCAGTGTCCATGAAATCATCCTCATGTGCCACTCTCACTGGAAACCTCCTTCAGGCTCCCGATTGGCTTCCCCCCCTTAAAGGTATTTTGGTCCTAATGGATTTAGCTTTTTTCATTCAGCAACTGCAAAAGCACAGAAATTAGATTGCTTAGGAGGAGTCAATAGCTTTACTTTTAACTACAGTCAACTCTCGTTATAACGAAGTTGATGAAGCTGCTGGAATTATTTCGTTATATCGAGTTTTCGTTGCATCAGGAGAGGGGTCATATATCACCAATTAGAGAACTGAATCCATATTGTGCATGTGTATACATGATTTCACTATCCCATGGGTGTATTATGGGAACCCAATGGCTTTTGAGGTTTCATGGACAACAGTACTTCTAACACGTTAGCTGCCATATAATCGCCGGTGGGTCACATTGCTTCATGGTTAAAGTGGGAAATGCATTAGAAGCTATCGTCGTAAATGTGTGAAAATGTGTGCATCCACCATGTAGAGGGCATACACCTCCCAAGGCCTTGTAAAAATAAACTTGCACGGGATGAATGAGGCAAAGGAACCCGATGATAAAGCTGCTGCACAAGCACTCAAGTGCTTCATTCACTCGCATCCCCCGTGTTCACATCTCCCACCACGCGCATATTCACCCACATTCACATTCCCCATCATGCATATTCTACACGCGCCAATTCCTTCTTTCTCATAGGCCATGCAGCTGGAGACCGGGGTGTAGGGATAGATAGAGATAAGGACTGACCCTTTTGCACTGGCATCATGAGGGAGAAAAGCAATTTATTTCCCTCTGGATGGGGAAAAATTTATTACATCCCTTGTACTCTCTGTCTGGCGACATGAATTCGTTTCTTTATATCTGAAAATTCTATTTAAATGTATCCGATTTTTGTTTTTTCTGCCTATGAACATGGAACCTGGTAACATTAAGGATTTCGGTATAACCGGTTTTCCATTTTATCCGTGTTCGTTGCACCAAGAGTCTACTGTACCAAAATGAAGCGAGAACCAAATGAATATGTATCTGGGTTCTTCTGAACAGCACTGATCCGTTTGGAGACAAGTGGGAAGTGGCCCGATGATGTGGAGGCCATCAGACGACTCAAAGCTGCCTTCTATGTTGAACTGTCCAAACGGCTGAGAAAGAGCCGTTGCCTGTGTCATGCTCTGCCTGATCGACTCTGGATCGTTCTGGTGAATCTGACCTTCCTTGTCTTTGTCAGAAACTAACCGAGAATTGCAGGAATCCACAGTATTTGGGTCTTGAATTGGATGTCGACTTGTATTGACTTTTTTCACGGAAATGTTATTTCATTTCATTCGAACCAGATGTACAGTAGAATATGGCTTAGAAAGGTGTTTAGAAACTGCACTTTGAAGAAGGAAATGGGAAATGGTTGGGTGTCTTTCTGATGTATTTATGGGCAATGGAGTACTGTCTCAATAAAATTTTTGACAGGACATACCCTTTCTTTGAGTGCTCCTGTTTCTTTTTAGCACCATATGTTCATGCTTTTAGGTAACTCCTGGCAAAAGATTTTGGAACTCCATGACCATTTTTATCAGTAATGGTTGTTCTTTTGCTCTTATCACACTATGAAGTCCATGAAGTCATTTGATCTCTGCAATGTCATTCTTGGTAATGATCGCTATTATTCAAGTTCAGACTACCTAAGCTATGATGTGTGCTTTCGGTCATCATTGTAACATTTGCTTGGTATCTTTCCAGGGAGTATAGTTTATAGTTTTTTAAAACCACATTCTCAAGTCCTATAAATGCTTAAAAAATTCCTGGTATGAAACGAAGCTCATCTTTGAATAATACTATTTGTCATGAGAAGTTAACTTAATGCTTCAATAAAGATAAGGCTGTCAGGTGGTCAAAATTGGATCTATCTTGTCTACTAACCCCAAAGCAGGGCTCCATATGCCATTCACTAAGTTCCTTACACTTCAGGGTGGAGGCAATTTCATTGATTTCATTTCTATGTCTCAATTTGAGTTGAGATACACTGTTTTGGAGGGAATTTTTATTTTCCAAATGTGAGATATTACATTGAGCCAAACTTGGCATGAATCTAAGATTCAGGAAAGATTGTCACAGCATGTCATATCTGAAGGATACTCACTATGTTGTTGACTATATACATAAAATGTCATAGACTCTCAGTGCATTTGAATGGATGTGGCAATTGATACAAGTGTCAAGTGTCTTTTTTTCAATGTAGGCAAAAATTCTAATTCTTTTATCCTCCTTTTCGACATATAAGTGCAGCATGAAATAAGTAATAGACAAATATGTGGCAATTGACTTTCCATAGAGGCTTTATGACTTAGAGGAAGTCTTTCCCCACTTAGGCCAGATTTGTGTTTGAGCTCAGAGTGACCTTTGCTGGAGAGGCAACAGTACATCAAAAAGAGCGGGATTCGACTGGGTTCCTCCGACTACGGGAGACTCCAGAGTCTCGTGCCGTCACCAAAGACACTGTTGCAAAACCTTATCTCTCCAGTGCCCTACATAGGTGAGAGAAATTGTGTCAGAAAGTTTCAGATCTGCCAGTGTCCTAATATACTGGTAAACTCAGTGGTATTTTTTTGATACCCCTTTCTCCTAAGTATCGTCTTATTGTTTCACATTTTCATTACTGTACAATGTATGGGCCCTTTTGAAATATTGGTTGAATGCATTTCAATTGACATCGTTGTATGTGACCAGGGATAGTTACTATGCAATATTAAGAATGAGATTAATGTTAGAATGGACAGAAAATAGTCTGATTTCAACAGAGGATATTAATTATGAGCATGATAAATGAAACCAGATTGTTTACATAATGAATTTTTTAAGTGATGTTTGCAGTTCAAGAACTAGGTCCCGATTCTTCTTTCTCAGCCTACAAGTGGAGCATCTGTGTTGGAGCACGGGAGTTCGGCTGTGCAAACGCTGGGTGGCATCACACATGCTTGGTCCTCCACACGTCCCGTGGGAAGTGGTGGAACTCCTCTCAGCACATTGCCTCATCTCGTCTCATCAATTCCCTACCCCTGCTTCCCCAGAGGCCATCTTTCTTCGCTTCCTCCAGCTTCTCTCCTATCATGACTGGGAGACCTCTCCCATCCTTGTCAACTTCAACTCTACTCTCTCAAGTTAGTACTGATGTATCTGTAGTTGTGACCTCCTGAGAAGATTCTTCAATGGATGTGCTTTATCCTCCACAGAGGAGGACGTGAGGGAGATTCGCAATCATTTTGACAAGCAGCGGGCAACACTTCCTCCTGTGTTCATTGCCACACCACTAGACAGATATGCATCAGAGTGGAGCAGGGAAGTCCCAACCCCCATGATCCTCAGACGTCTGGCATCCCTGGCACAGTCAGCTTTGGCGTTGCTCACATCCTCTTCTGTTCCCTCTGATTTCAAGGTAGGTGTTTTCCATTGGAGTGAAAATTTTTGTAAATGATTTCCTATAGTGTCTTATGATCCTTGGCAGGTACTTTTCTATCCAATACTGGATGCGTTTGATGTGTTGATTTGGCTCCGACACAGTCAGCTGCCTCGTCGAAGAGAAGCTCTCTTGGACGAAGGAACCTCCATATGTACACCCCAACCACTCCAATCCTCTCAAGATTCATATTGTATCCCCATTGTTGAGTTTGACCCAGTTCAGTGCTATCTTGAAGAGCTGAGGGTGAGAAGATGTCCTTGGTCACAGTCTGAGTAAAGACCTGTGGATGTTTCTGTGTATCATGGAGGGTATGTCTCTTGTTCATCCAGGGTTTGTATGGTGAGTTGGCACTGTTCTTCCATGACGAGCATGGTGGAGATGTGATCGGAGTCCTATGGAAGCCAGATGCATGGAAGCCAACAGAATTCAAGGTCCTTTGCCCTCTTCTACGCTCTGTGAAAAGCATGGAACCTATGCAGTGAAAGGAATTAGGAAGCAGGATCACTATCCAGTTAAAAGTATTACAGTCGACTCTAGGTAAAACGAACATGGATGTGATGAAAGCCGGTTATATCGATATCCTTGACTTGCCCTGACTTGTACCTATAGACACCCATCCTAAAAAAAAAATTTTATATAAGAAAATCAGATATAAAGAAATTTAATATACAAGGTGCTCCATTTATCTTGAGACCATGAGAATGTTGATTTAAAGGAAAACTGTCATAATAATTTCAATTTTCATTTCAGATTGAAGATAAAATAATGCTAAGTTATTGAACATGGATCCCTGGAGCCTAGGACACTGTGCAGGGTTAGTGAAACATTGCTTTGAAAGTCACTCATTAGTGATTGCACAGAGAGCTTTCAGAAGAGAATTTCACACGAGATTCTCCCAGTAGATCTACTATTCTGCAGTACATCGCCGAATTTAGAGAAGGGGGATCTGTGGCTGATAAGCAAAACCACACACCCATCAGAGTGAACAGTAGAGAAAACAGCCATCATAAGCTCAGCGATTTAGCAAACACCCTGTTTAACGGAAGAAAATTTGTCCTCAGACAAAAAGTACACAGGATATTATTCATTTTCCCCTGTTCAGAGTGAAAGATATTGTCTTTCTCCCCATTGACAGAAGTGCTGGTCAGTCCTTATCTCTATCCCTTCACTGCAGTCTTCAGTTGCACAGCTTGTATGTTGAATGTAGGAATTGGCGTGTGTAGAATGTGCGTGATAGGGGAACTGTGAATGTGGGTGAGTGTGCGTGTGGCGGGGGATGTGAACACGCACGATGCGGTGAATGAAGCACTGAGTGCTTGCACTCAGCAGCTTTTCATTGGGTTCCGTTGCCCCGTTCATTCTGTGTGAGATTCATTTAACAATACTTCGGGAGGTGTATGCCCTCTACACAGTGGAGGCTTTTACACATTAACGACGATAACTGCCAATCCATTTTCCGATGCTTTGACTGCAAGGCCATGTCATCCACTGGCGGATATGTGGCAGATAACATGTTAAAGTACTGTCGTCCATGAGTCCTTAGCACTCGATTGTCGGGTGTGGTCCGACATTGTTCATAGCATTTTGAAAAAATGAGTGGAAAGGGTGAAATCTCAACAGCTGTAATGCGCCCAAGAGATAGTGCAATCATGTATACACAGACATAATATATATTCAATACTCATAATTGGAGATATATAGGGTACCTGGGAAAAAGTTTACTGTTACAAAGGTATGTATATATTTCCACAAAAAAAAATGTTTAAAAACAGTTTATTGACACGTACATAAAACTGCGAATCTGCCTGTGAGTGAAAGAGAGTAATCTAACGGTGATAAATCTTGAGAGTGTGGAGGCCCTTTTACATCACCACGCAATCAGATTAATTTTTTGGGAAGCGTTCCTTGAGCCAGTCCATCCAGATTCTTGCTGCGTGTGATGTGGCTGTTGAAACTCCAGATTTATCTCCATTTATATTAATTTGGGGATGTGTTGAAGGCACTGTTTTAAGAGCTCCCACAAATTCTTGAGGAGTTGAAAGAATTCACTCAGGTGGATTCGCTTTATCCTCCAAGAAATGCTAGAACGTGTAGTATACGATTTTGCTCTCAGGCTGTGTCAACGACGAGGTGGTCATGTAGAGCTCCTCATTCGACACAATTAGTTCAAAATATAACTGAAAAAGCTCAAAAACTTGGTTATTATGTAAGTGTGTCAATAAACTGTCTATCAAGCGGTTTTTTTTTCATAGCTTTGTAATAGTACTCATTTTTTTCTGGTCATCCTGTATGACACTCACCATAGGTGCTGAACCCAGGGGGGCATTATTGAGGGGGCAACGCCCCCCCAAAAATGGCCAAATTTCAGCAAAAGTATGGCACATGGGAAATTGAAAACAAAATGCTGCTTCACGAAAGAAATGAAAAATTGATTTTCCTTTCTGTTTAGAGCTCTAACTGGGGGAGATCCCTGCATCACCCCGTAAGGGTATGAGGTGGAAGGATCATGCCCAGCACCCCCCCCCCCCCCATTGCTCGTCACTCTACTACCATAATAATACTGAGCTACCCCAATAGATCCTGGAATAATTCCATCAATGATGTTTCAGGTGCATGAGGAACTTCCCCCCCCCCCCAAATTTTTTAGAAGTCAGTGCCTATGACCCTCACTTCTTATTAATAAATAAATCGGTGGCTTCAACTACGTTTTACCAAGAGTTGACTGTATTTGTCTTTTATATGTGATAACAAACTGTTGCCAAAGTGTATGCCCAGTTCATGGTCTAATTTTGAAGATGTCAATCAGCCATAATGATTCCATTCCAGTCATCTGGCCCTGCTTCGAAAGATGTTAGAAGAAATTCATAATCTAACAATCCACACTCTATCCTGAGCAATGCACATGCGAATGAAATTCTACCATATTCGTAGACTTGGTAAACATTCATTGGGAGTGCAATGATTGGGATCGGGACACCCATTCCTTTGCCTGGTAACAAAACTTTGAAATCATCCACAAGTAAGTTGGTGGCTTATTTTGCCACACTCCCCTCATACAGTGGAATATATGATGGCAGTTTTGGATCAGGGATGACCAATGTGTCAACCATGGTCTTTTTGCTGATGAAGATACCATTTTCTGAGAAAGTAAATGCATATGCAACTTCTGTGATAGAAATGGCCTATGTGCTTCAAGTGAAAAAGTTAAGTGTGAGGGCTTTAGAGTGGAAGTTTGGGGGGGGGGGAGAGAACTTGAATTTTTTTTTTTCGAATCATGTTTGACATCACATGATATGCTATATAGATCAGTGGTTCCCAAACTGTGGGTCGCAAGAGGCATCAAGGTGGGTTGTGTACATTTTCACAATATAAAAATCACATAATCTGCATCAGTTCAGGGTAAAACATGCCCTGCAGAAAAGGTCTATCAGTTTTATTCATGTCATGATTACTTTTAAAATACTTTGTTCTGGATTCCGGTGGGTTGCAAATTTTCTGTACAAATTTTTCTGTAGGCAAGTGGGCCGCAACTCAAAGGAGTCTGGGAAACACTGCTACAGATCACTTCACATTGGAGTGGTGGTTCTCTGAATTATGAAACTGGATAAAATGACGATAAATGTAGCATGTGGTACCACACCTTTGACTTGATTAAAAGTTCAACTCCATAAGAGAGTGAATCCAGGAAGAAAAAGCATTGGAGTTTGTGTTAAACTGGTCTTCTCCCAGTTTACTGATGTAACTTGTGCATTTTGTGTCCCATTCATTAGCATGCAAAACTTGCAAGCAGCTCTACTTACTGTCTCACACCAGACTGTCTACCTTTTCCCCACAGGTATCTCGTGTGAATGCGAGGGTGCCACATAGCAAAGCAGGAAGCATCCAGTTGCAGCCTGATGCTGAGTCCACCTTGGAATCTTTTCAACTGTTAGGAGCTGGACTTGTTTCCTCCATTGAAGCATTCACTGATCGCTGGGTCATCTCCTAGCACTTGTTGAGAATCTATGCTGTTTTTTTTTCAGGCAATACAAAAAGCATGATATAACATATTCAGAGCAGCTTCATTTCACTTCCTGATTGTGACTAATAAGATACAAACATAAAAAAAAGAGCGAATTATCACTTCTGGCTTTGAGGGTTCTCCTCCCAAGGCCGAGGTCCTCGCTTGTTCTCCCAGTGCTCCACGTCCACTTTCTGAACACAAAATGCCATCAACTTCACACGAATTTCAAGATATGTTCTACCATAGCACAACAATTTTCATACTTCTGACCTTTTTCATTTTCTCATATTCAGACTCCAGAGACACCTCACCATACTTTTTCATCGTTATGCCTAGTTTCTCCATCTCCTCTGGGTGAATTTGTTGCTGCTTTCGGAAACGATACCTAAAGGACCACTACCACTCAGTACCTGTGTTTTCTATTGGGTGGAAACTATCTGATAGCTATCTAGGCTGAATTACTTCACATCCACCTGAGGTAGCCTAATTAAGCTGCAGGTACTTAAAGCAAAGATTCTGGTGTTTACTTAGGTTGACTCCAAAGATCTAGTGCTTGAGAATTAAGTTTCTTCCAGTCAGTTAGAGTGTATGCCAAAAGTACAGAATATGGGTTTTCTAGGTCAAATGTGCAAGGAAGGAAGTCACTTATTGCAAGGAAGTTCAAATGTGTTGTTGTACTGCTTTGAAGCATCAAAAGTGACATATATACAAGGTATACCATTCCCATGTTAAGGGGGAATGCCTTTTTGTTGCATTTTCACATGTGGCTTCAGTTGTATTTTCATATGTTTCTCTTTTTGCAATTAATCTTATTTGGCAACTATCAACATGTCAGAGTTAGTCATAGGAATATACGTACTACCACAGCCATTTGGGGTGGGAGGCCAGATTTCACATGAAAGAACTAGAGTAAGATATATGCCTTAACTCTCAACTAGTTTTTTTTTTTTCATTGAGTAACTGGTGATGTGCAGTCAAATAGACCACAGCATTAAAAATCTCAGTAAAAAGCAGCTTTTCTTTAAAAGATGAATTCACAATTACCATGGCAGTTTCATGGCTAATTTCACTACATTGAAGCCATATGGTAGTAGCATATTCCCTAGACTAACCCTGACATATTGACAATGACAAAATGATATATGCATAGAAGCACCAAATGCAAATGTGCCTGAAGCTGCAATGTGAAAATGCAACACGGTATTCCCTTAACAGGGGCTTTGTATACCTTCTGTATGTCACATTTGGCCTTGCTTATGTTGAACATGCTTTTTTTTTTCCAACATTCATCAGAGCAATACATTTGACTTTGAAACCCTATACTTTCTCAGTGCTGTTGAAGCTAACCTGAGATCGGTGAATTCACGGAGATAGAAGGAACCTCCCAGGACCAGAATCATGAAGGGTAGCCCATGCTTGAAAAGGGGACTCTTCCATATGGATCTTGTCATCTTGAAAGTTTCTCTTTCACAAGACTGAGCATCTTGTCATATTCTTTCCACCCTTGGTTTGCTCATATTTTCCACAATATGCTAAATGGTTCCATTTTTATTAAAATGAAGCTGATACAGCTTATGCATTACTCCCAATTATAAATAATGATATCCAAAGTATGTCAACAGCAACCTTTGTAGACAGCTCTATCACTCCTTGGTGAAGTGACATTGGACAAATCTTGTGCTTGGAAGACTCAAGGCCCAAATGCACAAACTTCATTTATGGAAATTAGAGACGCCTTTGAGCTGAAGAGCTTTTTTCCCTACATAGTAGTCCATGAATTCATAAAGTACCATCAACTTAGGGTTTCAGCATGTGGGCCTAAGCTTTAAGCTTCAGGCCAGGCATCTCAGGTCTATGAGAGCCCCTAAGAGCAGGTTTCAAGCAATTTCATAGGCCTATCAAGCCAAGAAAACAAACATAAGTAAACATATTCATTCCTCCAAAGGGCAAAAAAAAGAATTTATCTTCACCAAAAACATGAATAATTCAGTGTTTGTTCACAAAAGACCTAGGTGGGAGGAAACACACAGAACTCAAGTCCCCTCATTGCCTGAATTCAGGAAGAGCAAATAATCAAAGAAACATGCACGAATCATTCTGCCAGAATTACTTTGTACTCGCACAACAAAAGCAACCCACTTTTCAAATGTTAATATGACCTGAATATTTCATCAATCAGGATATGGGACTTTCCAGTCCTCAATTCCCTTGATAGCATAATGAATGTTTCTTTACTTTCTGCATTGACAAGAATTTTTGTGTATATGAGTAAACATAGGTCTGTGGGAAGTAGACTGGGGAGAAGCACGAGGCAAAGAAAACGGTCAATGAAAAAATGAAAGAACGGCATCACATCATAGACCTCCTCGTAACGAGTCGGTGTTGCCAAGGTGAATTTTTTTTTCTTTGGAAGCGTTCGTAAATGCACATCACTGCTCCACACGTTCACGGGAGTCCACGATGCACAAGTCCTATCCATCTTCTTTTGGTGGAGTACTCCAACCTAGATGACATACACCAGTTTATCATGCATCCATTTTGTGCATTCAAATGTGTCAAATTGAAATTTAAACTTACCATTCTTTTCATGGTATTGGACCAGGGACCTGAAGGACTGCTGGGCTCTTGACAAGCTATATTGGCCCTGTAAAAAAAAAAAAGAAATTTCCAACCTAGATTCAAACTGATCCTCTTAACTCAGGTGTCTAGAATTTTCATACATTTGTTAAACATTTATATTACCCAAGTGGTCTTCATTGGAGTAGAAAATCCAGTTATCAATAAATGTAGACATACAAAAGATAGCAAATTAACTACAGTGGTACCTCGCATAACGAACGCAATTCGTTCCAGTGGTGCGTTTGTTATGCGAAACACAATTTCCCATAGAAGTCTATGGGAAATCATGTAATCTGTTCCACGTCGCCGTGAAAAATCAAGGAAATTAGGAAAAAATGTTTCACTTTCACTCGCGAACACCTCGCATAACGAACGCACCACTGGAACGAATTGCGTTCGTTATGCGAGGTACCACTGTACTAGCAATTTATTGAAAGAGATTCTTTGAATTGGTTTAGCCAATCCTTACAAAAAAAAATGCTTAGGATTAAATAGGCTACAGGAAGAACATGTAGGCTGGAGTGTGAAACAGTTCTTCCTCTCCCAAGTCATATTTTTCCTTCTGATCAATATATATCTATAGAAAATGTTGATAGGACAAAAGTCTGTCCCTTGACAGGTTTCCCCACCTTGTTGGCGCCAAAGTGGATGCGAGCACCTCCTTTGACAAGGGTTGCAGCAATCTGCATGATAATTGCCTCCACAGTATAGGCAGAGCTCCAACCTTGCTTGGTGAGAAGTTCCATGCAGATGGCTCCCCCAACGAGCACATACCCACCAGAGATCATGGGATGCACCACCCGTACAAATGGCGGCTCAAAGGGATAGGTGTCCTGCCAGCAACACATCATGCAAAATATGAGATTGAATGCACATGCCTTTTTAGGGCTACTTGCATTCATCAAGCATGTCAAACTCTGGAAACTCAATAATATATTATGCCATGTAAACCTTGAAATTAGTGATTAGAGGGGAATAAAAATGATACAGTTGGCCATTGAGGGGGTTAATACATTATGTAAGGGGTAGTATGAATGACCAACAGCATGCCTATTAAAAAATACTTATGCAATGAATCATAACCAAATAAAGTATCACATTATTACCTTGAAGAAGAAGTTGAATAGGATATGATCCTTTCCTTCCTTCTCCTTGAGCACAGTCAGGTCTTGGTAGAGTTGAGAGTCAGGGTCCACGACCTTTAACCTCACATACCACTCATACAGGTTCTCGTTGTTCAGTTCTACTGTATAGACACCTGAGAAAGTGGAATAAAAAAAAAAGTAAAACTGAAGGCTGCTGAGGAATTTTACCACAAAGAGTGTCTCATCTTTCTGACCTATCTTGAAGCTCTCAGAACGGTAGATGTCCCGAAGCTCCTTCATAAGCCTGTCAGTTGCCTGCACTGACCCAGAGACCAGACCTTTCAAGTAATCTTTTCTCTGAGTGTCCTTCAACCTTTCTAGCACCAGGAGATTCTCTGCTGCTATGTCACTTTCCTAATTGCATTAAATATAATTCCTTGCAAATAAAGGGCCAGCTAAGAGAGCAAAAATGAAAAGACAAAAAATGCCTACAGTTTCAGGCTTTGTTGGAGGGTTCTCCATTTCAATGTGCATATCATCCTCCTCATCGTCCTCCTCCTCTTCCTCATCGTATTCTCGCGTACCAATACCACTTTCCCCACTGCCTGATGGAGAGCTTGTGCTCTTGGAGGAAGGGACATGGAAGGTCCAGTCAGTTTCTAACTCAACCGGTTCGGGCAGCTTCTGGAGTCTACACAATTCTCCCACAAGTATTTTCACCTGACTCAGCAACTAAACCGGGATATTTCAGTAGCATTAATTGCCTGAACAATTTTCAAATGTTCAATTATAGATTCCTAACATACTAAATATTAAAAAAAAGACTCACATGGTTATCTTGACCAGTGGTGGAGCTCAACCGCTCAATAGCAGGTGAGAGAGAGGGCTCCTCGGACACAGAAAACCAGATGGGTGGTGTTGATGGATACGTTTCCTGCAAGTGAGAAAAAAGGCAATAATTTTTTTATTATTGACATTAGGTATGCAACCTATATTTTGGTACCTCATAAAGTTAAAATAAAAAAGTCTGAAAAGCCTCACTCTGTTCAGTTATAGCATCAGTTCATAACACAAACATAAGTTAGGCTAACTAATACCTGAAATTGTAGTACTTTACAGAATGACAGCACTTTAAGGATCAGCATATCTAGAAAACTTTCATGATGTAGCTTATGCTTGGCTGAGACATGGCCATGGCCTCACCAACAGTTTTTCAACTGTAACTGAAAATGCTAAAAAGTTGAGATATGACCTTTGCACACAATGGTGATGAATTGTCTCTTGGATATCTTATGGAGGCCAGGATCATAGGTAAACTAGATATCCCAAATGACTAGTTGTGCAATACCAAATCTTTGGCTCTCTCATTTTCAAGCTAAAATTTCTAAGGAACCCCAATATCAGATGAGTTCCAGATTGAGGAGCTACATTTTTTGCTCAGGTTGAGCCATTGCCTCTTTATTAGGAGTAAAGGAGAAAAGAGAATTATGATGGAGGAAATAAATTATGGCAAGATCACTGAGGTTGCTGTACTGGACCTAGATATGCATTAAAAACTAGTTCCAGAGATGGGCAGGTGATATTGGCTTCCTTTAAAACGTTAAGGTACATTAACGTGCCTAGTACTTCTCATAGTCACTTATTCAACACCTTCTGTCAGTCAAGAAAAAATATTAAATAATTTTAAAAATAATATACGAAAATAATTGTTACATTTCAAGATTTATTTATAGGCAGATCACAAGTCTTTATGAGATTTACAGTGATGAGGCTAAAGAGGAGAAACACCAGAATGTCCTAATACATGCATAGTTTCTGGGGAAAAACTCAACTTAACCACATTTTGCCTCATTGGCAAAGGTTGTGAAATTGAAGTACCCTGAACCCCTCAATGCAAATCAAAATTTGAAAGCATGACAAAGGAAAAGATCTTACCGTGATATTGGCATGAAGCTCAAATCTCCGCCCATTGGCCCCAATGAACCTGCATGCTAGCTCATCCACATTGGCAGATATCACCTGGAATCGCTCGTGGTGAGTTGGGAATAATGACTCCAAAATTCTAATTTCTTGCTTCAAAGCATTCAAGCACGCCATTGGCCTTCTCGATGCATTGTCATCAAAGCTTCAAAGACAGAGATCCATTCCTTCACTCCAAATCATTACTTTTAGGCATTCACCTTTGCCTGAGAGAAACAGAATTTCACCTTCAGAATTCCACTTTATTTCTACCTTAGGCTTAACACATCAGATACTGGGTTTCATTGGCCTGCTAGGCACCTGTCTGCCATATGAGGATCAGACAAAAGCTTCATGCATTTTCTCCTTGGTGTCCACCAGCTCATGCTCAAGGATGCTAGAATCTCAATAGGGTACGCCCACTCACGTAGGATTAACGGTAACTTACGGTGTATGTTGGGTGCCCAATAAGAATAATGAAGCCTTGTTAAAACAGGACATATCAAACGAAGAAAATATGAGACAGACCAGGAAGCGAAAAAATAACAGGCACAATAAAATATAACCCAATAAGAGGCATCTTTCCTGCGGTACTTAACTTATAACGTTTGGGCTAACCGTGACACAAAAGAGTTCTTACCACTATTATTAATCTCATTTTTACAGTGTATACCAGGAGATGATGGGGCATCTCCCATTAAGGAAGTGACATTAGACCAATAGAACTCATGCAAAATGTGTTTCGAATCCATTTGAAAACCACAATAACGTTATTCATAGCGCCAAGCTGTCCAGCACCCATCCATCACCAAGGTCACTGATGAAATAGCACTAGGCCTAGATGTTCCACTGTCGATGGCATCATTCTCCCTTCTTCGGATTAGACCTAGATTCCTGCGAAATCTGCCTTCAAGGTCAATCATCAGTCGAAATTAGTGGAAGAGAGAACAAAAACAAGCTCAGCTGAGCGAGCGCAACGCCATCTTTGCGACCTGCTTCTGCGCATCAGTGTTGCTATCGGCTCGCATCTCCGTTGGAGTTTTCATTTACGCATCTTAGGTTTAACATATTTTCTCATAATTTTTTTCAGTCTTATGGAATTTATTAACTATTATCTGCATAAATAATTGATTTTCTGATTTTATAATGACCGAGGGAGTCGCGTGTTCTCAACCTACGGCTGGCATTGTTACGAGAGCTGCGCAGTACTGACGGCACCGGACAGTCGTCGGTGGCACCGAATACCTGCTGGTGATACCTTCTATCAGTCGATCCCGTTTTAGCATCGCAAACACTCATCTCGGTGGTTCTGAGAGCCCGAAGAACGACTAATCTCCTGGCGCCTGGATGCTCTTTCGCAGCCTCGAAACGAGGGTGTAGCAAAAAGCCCTTGAAATCATCTGATATTAATACGTTCGTGACTGAGTGAGTGACTGACGCCAATTTTAAGCGCGTTCCAGATATGGTGGAAAATTGAAACGGTACAGAAGTATTTGTTGGGGTGCTCCGTTCGCGAAAGATTCTGGCGAGCCCTCCAACAGCTTTAACGTCATCATTTTATTTTCCTCAGGCTTATTTCTATCTTTATATTTTCTTGGCCTATTGCAGTTTAATTGAGAATTCGTTTTGATGCAGTCGTTTCCAGTGTTACGATAAACTGCTAATGTGAACAGTTTCGTTTCGTACTCTTCAGTCGTTGGCGGATTCGTTCTAACTTTTGACTTTTCCCGAAAAAATTTTTTCGCTTTCCATCTTCACGAAAGCTGAAACTTAGCACACAATTAGCTCTTAGGCTGCTAATTTCAGGGAAAATCCTGCCGTTGGCATGTGTCAGTAAACAATTTTCGGGGGCACGTTCATTCCGAAAATGTTTCGCTCCAGCAAAACGGGCGGATATTATGTGTGAAATTCAGTAGAAAAAGTAGTTTTTGAAGTGCATAAATGCATGGAGTTTCACCACTTCAGAGGGTGCGAGCGTCGAAAGCGCACGTTTCAGACGAATTTATTGCTTTCTTACCATTGCGAGCTCGTTTTGCCCGAAGGGCAAGCAAACTCGGAAATCCCTGATCGTGGTAATGATAAACCAGACGCTAATATTTACTAGACTCACGGGCAGGGAGCGGGCACCAACGGGTGGCTCGAGGCTTTCACGTTCTCGCATCGGCAAAGGGTAACAAAAACCAAGAAAGGACTCGAGTGTTTCTGCACGATTGCTCACAGCTTGCGCGAGCAATCGAGCTGCGGGGACAGGGTTCCGAGAATCCCTTGCGACGTCAGCTGGATATCACGCACATGGGGGGGGGGGCTCTTTCTCCCCTTCTGATTCAAGGAATCCACGAAAGTCATTTCACGTGTCGATCGAGTGCAGGCATCTCATCTCCGTTGCTCCTCTGTGACTCATGCTGGGATCCGGAGATTCTGTGCTATTGATTTAGTTATCGCAATGGGTTTGTTACTCAATGGTGAGGTTAACCCTATGTTGGAGAATGCGGATTCAATGTAACGTTTATCAGTTTTCATGACAAAACCGCTATCAACCGCGATTGTATTGCAGGTGTTGCTTCGAGGCACGAATCGTAAGCTTTTATTAGGACAGCTTTTCTTTCCTGTTTTCCACCTATAGGTAGCAATTCATAGGGAGCTCAGGGGGCTCGAGCTCCCCCCCCCCCCCAAAAAAAAAAAAAAAACCATTGTAGTTTACTGTTTTGTGTCCTTTTTTTTGCAGGGGACCTTCAAAGAATTAAAAATATTGTGACTATATTTCTGCTGCATCATTTTAAAGATTTCCACTGTGTGTAGATGGAGAGGAGACAAAACCATTTATTCCGCCCTCAGTTCCTCATTTTCACTTTTTAGGGAAATTATGAGATAAATATGTAGGTCGTACTGAGGGAATTCTCTGCAATATTTTCAGATGTATTTTTCCTTTTAGGATGAGTTTTCTATTCGTCACTTCGTTTGTAAGACGGTTCAAGAGGCTCCTTCCGGTTTCATGTCACATTGGAAATCATTTACACGGATACGCTGAGATAGCTCAGTTGGATGAGCGTTTGACCGAAGATCGATTACGGCGAGATCAAGCAAGATCGTTTGATCTTGCTTTTGAAATATTTTTCCTCTTTGTCGCTTAATATGACTGGCAGTATGCAATAAAGTAAGGAATCGAAGAAAAACCAGCGATATGCAGCGCCACCCTCGGCCGCACACAAACTTGGGCCAACATTGGCTGCGAGTGGGGGACCATGGATCCATATTGCAGTGGTATGCCCATGTAGGTGACTTAGGGAGCGGCATTTGTCATGACTCAGGATAATACATCTATCTGAGTTATTTGAATAGAAAGCTTCCCACTGTTGATGCGAGATGGAGCCTATGTAGCCGCATTTTATGTGCGATCAGGGAGTAACTCATTAATTAAAGACCCTTAACATGTTTCATTTCGGTTCGAATGTTCCATTTCATGAATTGGAAGAGAGTGACAGTGACAATTTAAATATATTTCCGTATTTGGGTGAATATGCATATGATGAAGGAATGCAAGAAAAAATGACCTAGCATAGAAGAAATTTGGCAGACATCACGGAAAATGCAGGCCAGTTTCAATGTTGTGGTATTCTGCGCTCAACCAGAGGCCATTCCTTTCATCCGTCATTGTCCATATCCGCCGGAATGAGGGAAAATGTATTGTTTCATTGTCATTTATTCCGTAACCCTTTCCAGATTTGTCCATATCTTCTATTTCTTGCATTTGAGAAAACCACGTCAATTTACCAGCAACTCTGGCTTTGCGTCACTAAATTTTACAGAAATCATGTTGACGTTTGTGGCGACATTGACATTCGTGTTACGCATTCCTATCAGTGTCATTTTCCAACGTCCCAAGCAGGGTCCTTGGCCAATTGTTTGAATTCCTGGGGCTTGTCCCCGCTGGTATCTGTCCAAAATCCCTAGTCGCATTTCCGACCAAATTTTCGCCGACCAGTGTGCTGAAATAAATAGCCGTTTTCCGAAGCCTGTCCCTCAGAACCCCTATCCCCAGGTTCATGCAAAATCAACCCCAACTCTCTTGAGCATTTTCAAATATACTTCTTTTTTATTATTATTCTAGACCTGGCATCAAATGAACATAACTGATTCAGAAACAGGGAGGGAAAGGTAGTGCCTTGAAACACGTCTGGCTGTTGACTTGGAATCCATTGAGCATCTGACTCCCTCGAGTCTTCATGGGCTTCCTCGCTTCAGTCTTTAACTTAGTCCATTTCACCAATGTACTCCGGGCAACACCGAAGGCGCCTGACTTCCTTCTCCACGCTTCTTCAGAGTCATTTCACATCATGAAGGGAAATACATCATCTCCATATCATGCTGACCTTTCAAAATGAAAGCGAGAGAAAAACATCGTTGAGTCATCAGATTCACTAAAGAGATGCGGGATATGGAACTATCCTTTCCAGGAACATATTATTCCTAGCGTTCATTACTTCATTGGAAAGCTGTCGCTTCGTATGGTGGTAATTCGTATGTCAAATCAGATTTGGTACAAAGGATCGCGATTCATGGAATTTCGGAAAAACTGCTGCACTTCATTATAATTACATAAAACTGCTCAGACTTACCTATTCGTGACTGTGGCTAAGTCGGGATGTGTCCGCCAGGTTCAATGACTTCGCAGTGAATTCATATCGGATGTTCCTCCGTTGTGCTCGTCCTTCTATCAGCTTTCTATATTTCTCCCAAGCTCGGATGGCATGCATGTGTCAATTCCTACCTTCCTGCATTCAAGAATGATGGGGGAAAATACGTCAAACCTAGTAAAGAGGATATAGTAGGTGTTTCAGGGAAAAAAAACAAAAACCGTATTCACGATTCCCCCCGGGCGCCTCCCACTTTCCTCTAATTTTCAGTGAAGTTTAAAGAAATCAAACGCATTTTTGCGGAATTATCTTGGCTATCCAGAGGCTGTTGTCAAAGGCGATATCAGAACATTCGTCATAAGTTCGCCCTATCACAGTGATGGGGTAAAGGGCAGGGAAATCTTGAATCAACTCACATGAGACAATTAATGGAGCAAGGTGTGGCGACGAAGGAGAGGAGTGCTACACTCAATGCGAATGGGCAGAAAAGCCTCTTCTCCATTGTAGGATCAGATCTAATCACTCCACACTAGATGGAAAGAAACTGACTGGGGCTGACAGGTGAGTCTTCTTTGTGCGTTTCTTCGCGCCACGA